TCTATTTAGTACTGCACAATCCAGTATTTTTTCCCTGATCCTTCTTTCTTCCCCATATTTTTCCATTTTCCCCTCATTACACAATTACAGTTCTTGGTACTATTGATGTATACAAAGTTAGATATAAACATCTTCATCATATTTTACTAATATTATACAAATAACAATAATATCGATTCATAAATCAATATCCTGTTTTTCATGCTCTTGTTAAACTTTGATTTCCCATCAATATTTAAAGTATCTTTGTCAGTTATGATTTTCTCAATATTAATTACATTTATATACAGTAGCTAAAAAAATTATTCACACCAATCCTCCTCTTATTTTCATATTTCCCATATCAAAAGAAGAAAAATGCTATTTTAATTCTAAAACATATCTTTCATTATAAAAGTAATTATATCTAAGGGTCATCCATTCTTTTAACCATATTCAAACAAGTATTTAAACATATGATGCCCCCTCTATAGGTCAAATCTTCTATTTTTTAAATCTAACTCTCACTTTCTTTCTTTGCTTCCCAAGCCAAGGAAATTAAATCGCCCAGGAATTTTCTTTCTATTTTTATGAAGGTTGCTTGGCATGAGGAAGACGATTTAGGTAGGGTATTTTTTTTTGGGGGGGGGGGGGAATTCTGGCTATTTGTGTTCCTTAAGCAACTCCCACTTTCCTTCTTCCTCAATTTCTCCCCTCATCTTTTGTCTCCCAAATTGTAACATTTCCCCTGACAGCTCTATGTTCCATTCCCCAAAATCTTCTTCCTTGTCATCAGTTGCATCTTGCAGACTTAAAGGGTAAAGGGTCTTTTGCAGTGCTTTTTTTCTAAAAAAAAAAAAAAAAGGTGCCGGAACTCACACACATCATATAACCCGCCTTGCCTACCCTACAAGGTTCCATCCAAAAAAGGTGCCGGAACTCTGTTCTGGGTGTTCTATGAGAAAAAAAGCCCTGGTCTTTTGCATTTTCATTGTTATGGGTAAGTCTTGCAGTATTTTATTTGTTTATGGTAGTTTATATTTCTCTTCTTTCATCTCTTCTGTCTCTAGGTCTATTTCCTCTGCTTCATTTTCTGATCTCTGGTTTATTTGTTCATACTTTGCAGTTGTTGTCTGGGAACTTTCTAGTTGTAGATTTAATTTGGAGATTTGCTCATTTAATATTATCTAAATTATTTTTAGTCTCATTATAGTTTCTTTTTATGTCCTCTTTGTATGCAACAATTGTTTGGTGAATAAGTTGGAGCGTAGAGTATATTTCCTTCTGAAAGGTGTTTGTTTTTTCTTGAGGCATCATTCCTGGAGATCATCTAATATCACCAGTCTCAATAAGAGTAGAACAAGGTTTCCTCTAGCTTTCTGGTCTTTATATGTAGCCTTTATAATCCAGAATACAGGTCCAGTCCCAAAAGCAATATTTTATAGTGATCCTTTGTCTCAGGCATCCAAAAATTGTCAGTCAGGCAAGGTTATAATCCACAATGTTCAAAGTGTTCAAAGTGTTTAACCTCCCTGAAAACAGCTCAAAAGTCTCTCCCAGCCAGACATAATCAAAGGTCATTTTTTTCTTTCTCTCCCACTAGCTCTTGAGATTAAAAGTCCAAGCTCAGTAGATGTTTATAGTCCAAAAAGGCCAGGGTGATAAGTATGCCAAAATATTTTCCTTTTTGCCATCTGCTCTCCCTTAAGCTAGGAGTCACCAAGCAGCCAGAAAGCTAGTTATAGTGCTGTACTCAAATCCACCACTAGATGTCATTCAAAATCCATTTTCCACTCCTAAGACAAAGGATTGATTTCTTATATTTCACCTCAATGTTTTTTTCCAAAGAGAAAATCTTAACAATTATCTTAGTTCTCAAATTTCAAAACTGTAGCTTTATGTTACTTCCACTTCAATATTGTGTATTTCTGTCCCCCATAAAAATTAAAATGCTGCTTCCGTTCACATTCAGAGGTTTTTAGCTTCTTGGGAGCCTTTCCCAGGAAATTCAGTTGTAAAATAGTAAAGAAAGGATCAATATTCTCACCCACTTCCAAACATGCTATTTACGATGTGTTGATTGGTGCTTTTCTTCTTCAGTTGTCAGCAGCTAATGGCTGGCCATAGGAATGTAGCCAGTCTTTCCTCTGCCAGTTTGGAGGGCTTTTCTCGGATCAAACAGAAAGGCCGCCATCTCTCCGTGATTGATGAGACACCCCTCCTTCTTCATTGCCTCTTCGGGGCAACTTTAGGCTCTTTTTAGGGCCCCCAGCAGGGCGAAATCAGGCACGGAAGGCAGAACCCTGCCTTCCTGCATCCGTCTTGTCATGACGCAAAACCGGAAGTCCCAAAATACTCAACATATTTATCTATGCACAACTAATAAAGACAACCTATTTCAAAATATGTTAGGAAGTCATCCTTTCCATATCTTTTCAATAATAGGAAGACAGCCTCCTCTGCCCTTGCCTTGCCCTTTGCAATATTATCCCCCATCACCCTGGAGAGGAAGCAGCCTCCACTCTCCTGGCCTTTTAGAAAACCTTGAAGTCCTGGCTCTGCGGACTTGCTTGGCACTCATGGAGAAGCACACAGCCACGCTATTGGTAAGTGCCTTGAAGGTCTTCCCAGCTTTTTTAAGCTTGAATTTAAATTATTCCATTCTCTCTGTTATAATATTTACTATACACAATTTGTAATTTTTTGTATTTTCATTGTATGATACTCAGAGTCACTCTATGAGCAGGATGGGCAGTTTCTAAATTTGATTTATACAAAAATGTGAAATCACAGCTGCCATTCTTCAGCTGGTATTGACTTTCATATGCACTGAGTTTTTCCCAAG